TAAGTTATAAGAATATGCAATGAAAAATGGGGGTTTCCATTTAAGAAATTGAAAGTGACTTTCATGTGACCTTCAAATGACTATCCATGGTCACATCAATGGCACCATCTTATGCCCCCTTCGAACCAAACTACTTTTGTCTGAAATGTTTTTCCGTATCTTCCATATTTTTCGAGATATTTGACTGGCTCTTTTAAAATGGACCACCCTGTATATATATATATACACATATACATAAATATTTTATTGAATAAAATTTCAATAATGACATATTATCACGTCACTTAGCAGAATTATTTTATTATTTCAATTTAACATATTTTATTATTGCAACTTTATGTAATATAAAATGTTTATATTAAACCAATGCATTTACATATTTGATATATAGTAACCTTTAATATCCATTTTAGTATCAATTCAATATTGGATAATATAGATAAATCAGATAATATAAATTAAAGACTGAGATTAGGATTTTTAATTAATTAAGAAAAGAATAAAGATTTCCCGATTGATCAAATCTTATCCAATCTCAGTCTTTAATACATAGCTTTCATGCAGTCTTTCATGCATAGTCTTATATTGACTTAAAACGGATTTAAGAATATCGAGATATTTAATTATTCGATTTCGTATTTTGCGGTAATTGTCGAAATGTACCGCGATGGATCGCAAAATTCAAATGGCTCTGTATTTTTCGCGTTCGTCATTTTTTTGTTTCAAAGTAAATATCTCGAGGAAAATTATAACAAGTATCGCATCAAGTGTTCATCCTCAACGTAAGTATATATAAAATTTCATTATTATATGCCAATATTACGATTTCGGTATTTACGATCCGTTATATCATGTCATCCTCTGTACGACGAGAACGTCGAAACCGTCACCATATATTTCAAGGTATACATAAAAGTGTATAGAGTATATGGTATGATAAATTAATTATTTCTTTGGCGTGAAATGGATGAATATCTCTTCGCACGGTCGATAAGTGATAGTGAGCCCGTATTGAACTGTATCCATTGCTTTTACACTTTTCACTCTCCACTTTCTCAAAATGGCTGTTAATACCGCTTTCTCTTCGAGTAAAGCAAATTTCTGGCCGATACAGTTTCTTGGTCCAGCGCTGAATGGAACGTAGGCATATGGATTTCTATGTTTCGAATTATCCGGAAGAAAGCGATCTGGATCGAACTTTTTTGGATCTGACCAAATTTCTGGATCATATTTCATATATAGCAACCTTTAATATCCATTTTAGTATCAATTCAATATTGGATAATATAGATAAATCAGATAATATAAATTAAAGACTGAGATTAGGATTTTTAATTAATTAAGAAAAGAATAAAGATTTCCCGATTAATCAAATCTTATCCAATCTCAGTCTTTACTACATAGCTTTCATGCAGTCTTTCATGCATAGTCTTATATTGACTTAAAACGGATTTAAGAATATCGAGATATTTAATTATTCGATTTCGTATTTTGCGGTAATTGTCGAAATGTACCGCGATGGATCGCAAAATTCAAATGGCTCTGTATTTTTCGCGTTCGTCATTTTTTTGTTTCAAAGTAAATATCTCGAGGAAAATTATAACAAGTATCGCATCAAGTGTTCATCCTCAACGTAAGTATATATAAAATTTCATTATTATATGCCAATATTACGATTTCGGTATTTACGATCCGTTATATCATGTCATCCTCTGTACGACGAGAACGTCGAAACCGTCACCATATATTTCAAGGTATACATAAAAGTGTATAGAGTATATGGTATGATAAATTAATTATTTCTTTGGCGTGAAATGGATGAATATCTCTTCGCACGGTCGATAAGTGATAGTGAGCCCGTATTGAACTGTATCCATTGCTTTTACACTTTTCACTCTCCACTTTCTCAAAATGGCTGTTAATACCGCTTTCTCTTCGAGTAAAGCAAATTTCTGGCCGATACAGTTTCTTGGTCCAGCGCTGAATGGAACGTAGGCATATGGATTTCTATGTTTCGAATTATCCGGAAGAAAGCGATCTGGATCGAACTTTTTTGGATCTGACCAAACTTCCTGATTTGTATGCGTTAATGAGATTCCCAATATGACTGTAGCATCTTTCGGAAGCGTATAATCGCCTAAAATAAAACAGTCTGTTATAGACTGTATTCTGCAACATATACAATTTTATATCGATAAACTATTTGAAGAATTGACACAACACAACACAACACAACACGCACGCACGCACGCACGCACACATGCAGGATATGAAAATGGTAAATGGAACTTTTTCTAAATTTCTGTTGCAAATAAGAGACTGTCTAAAATGGATTTTAAACTATTAATCTTTTGCTGAATCGTTTTTATTTAGCCTTTAATAAATAAGAAAAAGCTATCTCTCTGAATAGAAACACATTCTCTTTATTCTTTAAATAAAAATATTATCGTTTAATTGCGAGAGTTACAAATTTCCAGATTAATGTGAATATCTTAAGATTACTTTTATCTTAATATTAATAGAAATAAAGTCCTATCATACCTATCTTTACATCTGCTAATTTTCTTGAGATCACAGGTACACTTGGGAATAATCTGAGCGTTTCTTTTATGATCCTATCGAGATACATTAACTGCGACAGCTCCTTTACGCTGGCTGGTGTCTTTGAATCTTTGAAAACTTCCTCGAGTTCTTCATGAACTTTTTCTTGATGCTCGAGATTATTGCCCAAAAGAAAGAGCGTCCAGATCATCGCAATCGCAGTTGTGTCGTGACCCTGTATCATTATCTCTATTTACAATTTTATAACACTCAGTTATAATAACATTACCGAGTCTGATAAGAAGAAATTTTATGTTAAACTACAAAGATTTTTCTCTCACCTCAAACATGAATGTGTCGACTTGTGCCCTCAATTCATCATTAGTTAACGGAGTTTCGTCCTTCTCATTCTGATCTAGTAATAGATCCAGAAAAACTGTCCTCTTTCGCTTATCTATCGAAATAAATTTCATCAGAATAATTAAAAAAATATTTACACAAGCTATCAAAGCATATGTATAATGATAATATAATAATCACACCTATGTCAAGTTCGCCATCCTCGTTTTCCAATTTTGCAGAACCGTTTCGCGATTGTCATCGTGCGATATTTTTCTTACGTATCACCTGAAATTTATCATTTATCCGTTGTAAACTTGTTGAATTCACCCCAACGAAAAGTAGTGCAAATAATTAATTTAATAAAATTCTGTCGATATCTTAATATATTACAATGTATTATTAATGTTTTTTTTTTGCGCGTACCTCTTTTGTAAATTTATGTATTATATTAAGCCCTGAATTGTATTTTCTTCCTGAAGGCACTAAGTTATACATCCTTGCGTTTCGTCGCGCTCTAATTTTTGGGTCGCTCTCGAACATTTTCTGGTCCTTCGAATCGGATTTCCGCCGGCATCCGCTCGTTCGGGAGTGATTTCCAATGAATTTCTGTGACCACCTGAAAAAAGAGAAGTCATCATGAGCGTAGACTTGGCCACCTTGATAAGCGCTCAGCGTGACATTCACGGTCGTATGTCCCGATCCGTGGACAATCTGAAGAAACTGGGCGCAAGCGGCATCAATCCCAGCGCGATCGAAACCAGAATCGAGATCCTGGATCAACTGTGGGCAAAATTCCAGATGCAGCATGAGAGTATCCGCTCCTGCTACAAGGAAAAATATAACGAGAGTGAGTACGCTACTGAATTTTTTGACACCGTCGAAAATACGTACGTGCAACAACGTAGTACGCTCTCCGCATACGCCGATCGTTACAAGACTGCTCCGTCAACTTCGACTGCGTCAAACGAGCAGCAAACCGGAGACTATTCGATGAAAACCGCGTTACCTCGTATCAAATTGCCGTAATTTTCGGGCGCGTTTGAGGATTGGTCTTCGTTCCGCGATCTGTTTCTCTCCGTGATCGGCGACAACTACGCAATCTCAAAAATTGAGCGATTGCACTACCTTCGGTCGTGTCTCCAAGGGACCGCTGAAAGATTAATTTGGCCATTATCAGTCACTGGCGAAAATTATGACCGAGCATGGGCACTCTTAAAAAAGCACTTTGAAAATAAGAAAGAGCTAATACGCTCCAACTTCGCCGCTTTTACCGCTGTAAATAAAATAAAGGGAGAGACCGCGGAAGAACTCAGCCGAATCTATCACGCCGTGACGACCGCCGTGAACGCGCAGGAGAGCATCGCGCGGCCAATCAACTCACACGGCATGGATCTTTTTAATTTTTTGGTCGTTGAGTTGTTCGATTCTCGCACGCGCTTGGAATGGGAGGCCTCAACCTGCGACTCGTCAAATCCACCGAATCACGACGTTCTGCTCGAGTTCATCACTAAGCGCATGCTCACGTTGAAAGCAGCAAAGAAAACGAGCACCGCAAAAACCTCCGGGGTGTATCGCGTTCCGCTAAATCGTACTTCACCAAACACGAGTTCAATGCTGCACAGTGCGCGATGTGCAAAGAGCGGCATTTGATCATGGCTTGCGGGCTGTTTAAAGCGAAGCCAGTAAACGAGCGTCGATCTTTCATCGAATTGCATTGCCTGTGCTTCAACTGCCTCGGCAATCACCCAGTAGCAAGGTGTCAGTCAACGAAGTTGCAGTTGGTCGTGCAAGGCGCGGCATCATTCCATGCTGCATGACGCGTACGTCACTCCGAAGCCCACCGACGCGACCTCGCTTTCCGCAGTCAACAGGGCCGATGACCGCAAGGCTATTCTTCTCGCGACCGCGCGAGTCCTCGTCGCCGACCGCTACGGAGAGCCTCATTCCGTTCGCGTTTTGATAGACCAAGGATCAGAGGTATCCGTGGTCACCGAGGCGCTGGTGCAACGTCTCCAACGAACCCACTCCGCGGTGACGATTTTCGGGATCGGCGGGTCACTGTCCACGGTACAACGCGCGGCAAAGTAGCACTGGATCTAATGTCAAAGGTGACTGGAGCAAAGTTCTCCGTCGTTGCCTTTGTGCTTCCCCGTCTCTCATCATATCAAGGCTCCACGACGAAACACCGCAAGAGCTGGCCACACCTCAAGGGACTACCGTTGGCCGAACCGAACTACTTGGCCACCGACCCAGTCGAGCTGCTTCTTGGAGCAGAAATCTGCTCAGCAATTTTCGAGGATGGACTCCGCAAGGGTGGACCACAAACTCCCATGGCACAGAACACCATCTTGGGATGGATTCTGTCAGGGGGGTGCGGCATTGCAACACTGCACGGCCACCTCAAATCTTTCCAGTGCACCGCTGACTTCGATCTCACAACGATGGTCCGCCGCTTTTGGGAGCAAGAAAAAGTGCCTTCCGCTCCCTCCGCTCTCGCACCCGAGGAAGACAGGTGCGAGAACTTCTCCGTGCAGACGCACAAGCGCAACATTGATGGACGGTACGTTGTTCGGCTGCCGTTCACAACAACCCCAAGGAACCTCGAGGAAACCCGCAGGCCAGCCGAGAGATTGCTGCATGCTATGGAGCGGAAAGGCAGCCAGGACTCTCGTTTCGGCGATCTGTACCGTTCATTTATGCAGGAGTACGAGGACCTGCAACACATGAGCGAAGTCAAGGAAGGATCCAACAAAGACAAAGGAGTCAGAATCTGCTACTTACCGCATCAAGAAGTATGTCGGGAATCAAGTGCCACAACCAAACTACGCGTCGTGTTCAACGGGTCACAGCGAGCCCGGTCCGGAGATTCCTTAAACAACCAGCTGCTTGTAGGGGCGAATATTTTTCCAGCGCTCGCCGACGTCCTCCTCCGCTGGCGGTGGCATCGATATGCGATTGTGGCGGACATCGAAAAAATGTAACGCCAAATTCTCGTTCACCCCGACGACCACAACTTACAACGCGTGCTCTGGCGTCGCGACAACACTAGCGAGGTCCGCGAATACAACCTTAATGCCGTGACGTACGGCCTCGCATGTGCACCGTTCTTGGCGATTCGGACTTTGCGCCAGCTCGCTGACGACGAGGAATTCCGCTTCCCTCACGGGGCCGCTGCGCTACGACGGGACTGCTACGTTGACGACGTTGTTTCGGAAGCCAACACATTGTCTGAGGCTACAATTCTGCAGCGTGAACTTCACGGACTTCGCATGGCGGGCTGGTTTCCGCTGCGAAAGTGGGCCGCCAATTGTGAGGAGACACTCACCGGAGTCCCGCAGGAAGACAGGCTTCTCAAGGCTCAGCACACCTGGGAGGATGAGCTTCAGTCCACGCTTGGTCTTCTATGGTACTCGCGCAGCGACCAGTTCGCTTTCGCGATCCAAGCCCGCACAACCTCCGAGTACACGAAGAGGCGCGTCCTTGCAGAAACAGCGCGTCTTTTCGATCCATTGGGCTGGCTGGCACCAGTGGTAATCCGCGCGAAGATCTTGATCTAATCCACCTGGTTGCAAGAATTGGATTGGGATGTTCCGCTTCCTCCCGCCGAACAACGACAGTGGCGGCTTCTTCTCGAGAAGCTTCCACAACTGGAGAATTTACGAATTCCTCGCTGGCTTCAAACGGGAGATGAAGCCTCAACTTTCCAAATACACGGCTTTGCGGATGCGTCCGAGAGAGGATACGCCGCTGCCGTGTATCTCGGCATGTCTAACGGTGACACCGCGACAATCCATCTTCTGGCTGCAAAAAGCAAAGTTGCTCCTATAAAGCAAATTTCGTTACCGCGCCTCGAACTTTGTGCCGCAACATTGCTAGTAAATCTTACTCACCATATAAGCACTGCATTGAGTCTTTCCACAGCCCCAACGTACTTATGGTCCGACTCCAAGGTCACGTTACTGGATCCAAGGACACGCATCAAGGTGGAAAACATACGTGCCAATCGAGTAGCCCAGATCCAATTGACGCTCCCAAACGCTCAGTGGAGACATGTTCCCGGTCGAGAAAACCCGGCCGACTGCGCTTCCAGAGGGATAGCTCCCAGCGAGCTGGCTCACCATGCCTTGTGGTGGACTGGTCCTGATTGGCTCCGCCAATCCGAGCTCAGTTGGCCGAAGAAGAACCTGGAGGCGCTCAAGGACGAACCGCCCGAGAAGAGAGCAACCACGCACCACGCCGCCGCCGTAGAAATCGAGCCTGAGCTCCTGCTCAGGTTTTCCTCGCTGCACCGGCTTCTCAGGGTGACAGCGTGGTGCCTTCGGTGGCGACGCTCAATCGTTCGCCCACAACTTCCGCGCGACGCAACACCACAGGTCCTTCAACCGGCCGAGCTCGACGAAGCTCTGTATAGATGGCTCCGCGTAGTGCAATCACTACACTACCCCGAAGAACTCGCCGCCATCAACGCCAATCGCATCGTCTCATATCGCAGCTGTCTCTCGAAGTTGAGTCCATTCCAGGACGACAACGGCGCTTCCGAGCTTCATCGCCCGATGGCCAGCGAATCGCCAACGTCACCAACTCCAGCGGTGTCCGGTGGCATTTCAATCCACCCGCTGCGCCGCACTTCGGAGGACTTTGGGAGGCAGCGGTGAAGTCCACTAAACACCACCTGAAGCGGGTCATCGGAGAAGCCACTCTGACGTACGAAGAATTCAGCACCTTCCTCAGTGGAGGCCTGCCTCAAGGCAGCGGTGAAGTCCACTAAACACCACCTGAAGCGGGTCATCGGAGAAGCCACTCTGACGTACGAAGAATTCAGCACCTTCCTCACTGGCGGCCTGCCTCAATTCCCGACCATTCCACGCAGTCTCGGATGATCCAGACGACTTCACCGCACTGACACCTGGACATTTTTTGATAGGTGCCCCGCTTCTCGCCGTACCGGAACTCTCACGGACAAATCAAAGGGAATTAACAATGTGACCCTGGCAACTTATACAAAAAATGAGGGATCATTTTTGGCTAAGATGGTCCCAAAAATATTTACATGGACTCACCTCACGATCAAAGTGGCTGGGACCCGCAGAGGCCGAATTATTATTGATTGTTCGCGTACAGTTGAGTATAACCAAGTAAGTGACTGTCGCAACGGTATCCATTCGTCCCAGTCTGTCTGGTCTTCGTTTATGTATTGTCTTAAATATTCCTCTAATGTTCGATGCGATCGTTCTAAAGCGCCATTACTTTCCGGATGATAGGCAGTTATTTGTATTTGTTCAAGTACAATCTTTGTAACGAATTCTTTACTGACCGTGTTCGCTTCTTGGTTTGGAATCGGTATCGCTTTGGTGAATTTCGTTAAGTTGTCTTGGAATGTTAAAAGATATTTATTTCCGTTTGTTGTAACTGTTAGCGGTCCTACAATATCTAACGCGCATTTTTCGAAAGGTTTAGTAGGCGTATCCGTGATTATTAACGGTAAATTATTTTTTCGCGATAGTTTATTTTTCTGGCACAATTCGCATTTTGCAATGTATTTTTCTACATCTTTCGTTATTCCTGGCCAATTATAGTTTAGGCGGATTCTTTTTATCGTTCGTTCAACTCCTTGATGTCCTCCTGTAGGTGCATTATGATATTCATATAATATCTGTTTCTTGTCTTCCTCCGTGTATATTTTTTCTTCGTCGGAGTTTGTTTCTTCTTCTATTGCGAGGATCTCTCGTTCTTTCTCTTCTGTTTCATGCGCTTCTCTTGTTACATTGCGGCTCAGTGCATCGGCGTTCGCGTTCGCTCGTCCGGTTTTATGGATGATTTCATAATCATATTCTTGGAGTTTTAATCTCCATCGGATCAATCTCGATCCGGGATCGTTCACATTAAATAACCAGATTAATGGTTTATGATCGGTTATGATTTTAAATTTCGTACGGTATATATATGGCCTAAAATGTTTTACAGCCCATACAATCGCTAGTAATTCTTTCTCGGTTGTATTGTAATTCTGCTCCGCCCGCGATAAAACTCTGCTGGCGTAAGCAATTGGCCGGTCGTTACCTACTTTTCCTTGTGACAATACTGCTCCGATTGCATAGTCGGAAGCATCAGTGGTCACTATGAATTCTTGATTGAAATCTGGATACATTAGCACTGGCGCTGTCATTAATCTTTCTTTTAGTATTTCGAAAGCATTTTGCTGTTCCATAGATTGCATAGTCGGAAGCAAAGCATCACACTATGAATTCTTGATTGAATTGAAATCTGGATACGTTAGCACTGGCGCAGTCATTAATCTTTCTTTTAGTATTTCGAAAGCATTTTGCTGTCCATAGTCCACTCGAATTTTTCCGTTTTCTTCGTTAGTTTCGTCAGTGGCTTGGCTATTTTTGAAAAATCTTCTATGAATTTTTTGTAGTATCCGGCTAGTCCTTTGAAAGATTGTATATCTTTTACTTTCTTCGGCGTCGGAAATTCCTTTATTGCCGTTAACTTTGACGGAGCCGGAGATATCCCATTCTCCGAAATTATGTGTCCTAGATAAATTACTTCCTTGCGCAAAAATTCGCATTTATCTGGTTGCAACTTTAGATTATTTTCTCGGAGTCTCTGCAGTACTTCCTTGAGTCTTTTATTGTGGTCCTCTAGGCTCGCTCCATATATGACGATGTCGTCTAAATAAACTAGACATTTAAGTCCTTGCATTCCGGTTAGAATTGAATTCATTAGTCTCTGGAATGTTGCTGGCGCATTTTTCAATCCAAACGGCATTCTATTAAATTCATAGTGTCCGTAGGGCGTTGAAAAAGCTGTCTTTTGTTTATCTTGCTCAGCCATCGGTATCTGATGATATCCTGACGCTAAGTCTAGTGTGGTAAAATATTTAGCGTTTCCTAACTGGTCCAGTATCTCGGTGATATTGGGCAGTGGAAATGAATCGCCTATTGTTAAATCGTTTAGCTTCCGAAAGTCTACTACTACTCGGAGCTTAGGTTTTCCGGATGCGTCGGCCTTTTTCGGTACCACTAATAAGGGTGCGTTCCATTGACTCGCACTTGTTCGGATTATGCCATTTTTCAGCATTTCTTGCACTTTGTTATTTATTTCCGTCTTGTGCTTATCGGGAAGACGATACGGTCTCGTGTTCACCGGCGAGGTATCAGCGCGCGTGTTTATCTCGTGCTCTACCGTCGCGGTGCACGTCAGTGGTTCTCCGTCCAACTGAAATGTATCGAAGTATTCTTCGCATATCCGTAGGAGTGCATGTTTTTCTTCCGTATTTAAATGTTGCGTGCGTAGTAGTTGTCAGATTAGTCTCGAGCTAGTAGGCTTAAAATTTTTTCTTGCTTGTATCGTGTGTATTTTGGATTCGATTTTGCGTTCTATGTCTTCGAGGATGACGTTCGGCGTCTGTATCTCGACTTCCGTATCGGTTGTATTTATGATACTAGCGGGACACGTGTAATCCTTCGGTTCTACTAAGCAGTTTCCAAGGTAGATTCCTGGAGCTGTTTCCTCTGCTCGTACTATTCCTATCCGATTTTGCTTCGTTATCGCTTTTACGGTGGTTTTGCTGCGTGGTTTTAGGATTGTTTTGTTAAACGTATGGAATCTTAGCACGGCTTCTCCTATTTTTAATTGATTTTGATTATAATCACAGGATACCGAATGTTGTTGAAGGAAATCGATTCCTATTATTCCTTCATATTCTATTGGAATGTCGTCTCTTATAACGTAAAATGCATGTTTTACCTTGTGATTTTCTATCTTGATCGTGGCGTACATTTTTCCTATGGTGTGTACTTTATGCCCGGTTATGCCTGTAAGCACGATTTTACCTTCATGTATTAGTGTGTCGTCCTTTAAATGTTTCAATTTTATTAATGAGATGGTCGATCTTGAGTCGTACAACATCTGTATTTTTCCGTCTTTTGCTTGTCGCATTGGTAATGTTATTAGCAATAAGTCAGTCTTTTTCTGTGCGCGTGGCATATCTTTAATATGTGTAACGCGATACTCAGATGCAGGTCGCAGTTGTCTCTTTCTCGCTTCCTCCTGCTCGTTTTCGCTGCTGCTTCTTGCGCTATCGGCGTTCCTTTTTTGTTGTCGCCATTTCTTTTGGTCGCGTATATTTTCTTCGCGCAATTTTTGCTGATTTCCGACTTTTAGTTTATCTGTACTACTTTTCGGTTTTCCGTTTAGGCTCCAGCATTCGTCGCGGCTGTGTCCTGTTCTTTTGCAATGCGAGCAGTATTTACTTATTGCGTTTATTCGCGAGGGTTTTTCCGGTTTCGGGAGCGCATATCGGCTACTTCGACAATCGCGTCCGTAATGTCCGTTTTTTCCGCATTTAAAGCATTGCGGTGTCGGGTTTCGACTATTTCGCGGGTAACTTGATTCGGTTTTATTTTTATTAACAAAACTACTCGTTCTCGCGGTTCCCGGTCTGAGCTTTTCTTCGGCGCTCGCGCCCGTTATCGCTTCTTGGAGCGTCGTATATCGCTGCGCGCGTACGAGCACTTGTAATTCGTCGTGTAGCCCGATCTGGTAATTTATTAATGCCTGCGCTTGGATTGTTTGTTGAATCGTGCGTTTCGATAATGCGGAGTGCTCCTTTCCTTCGATCATCGAGTCGTATAATTTCATTGCTAGTAGATCAACGCGTTGTCCGAAAGCGTGCGCAGTTTCATTCGGCTTTTGTTTTAGCGAGTTGAATTCGATCTGTAAATGTGTCGTGCTTTGTTTTGACTGGTAACAAGTCTCGAGTTGCTGCTTTAATTCGTCGAACGTTTGTATATCTCGCGTCTCAAAGTCCTGCATCGCTTTCCCTTTTAATTTTGTAAATAGGATGGCTTGAATTAACGATTCTTCGTCTGCTGGGTCTATGTTCTGAACAGCGTATTTGCACGCGTTAAAAAATTCTTGCAGTTTATGTAGCGAGGTGTAGTCGAACACGGGGATCATTATTCTCTCTTCCTTTAACGGTAGATAATTCGGGGCGATGCTTCGTCGATTTCTGATATCGCGTCTCGTTCGCCCATATGTTGTTTCAAACGCATCGTTATCGTTTTCCCTGCTAGTGTCTGTATGACGGGGTAATTGTGCGTCCGCGCTTTCTAGTCGCGTTACTCGTATATTTAACGAATGGATATCCGCGCGTATTTCATTCAAAATGTGGATTATCTGTGTATAATCTCCTCTTTCTTCGCGGTTAATCTCGGGAGGCGGCGTGCGGTCGGCCTCCGCTATATTTCGGTCCATTTGGCGGATGGATTGCCGCATGTTTTCTATTTCCTCGTCTACCGCGCTTTTCGGCGGGTTCGCGGGAGTGCGTTCTTGCGGATTTCGCGATTCGGCCATATTATTTTCCTGTTGGCTATAAATCTCTTCCGGATCGAACAGGTCGCTCTCGTAGGACGTTAACGAAAATTCGCGTCGTAAAGATACTCTACTTGGAGTTCTGCTAATATACGGTCGCGTACGTCTAGTCTCGCGTTGGGTGTTGTCAGTGGGGTCAGTCGTATTACGCGGGAGTAGGCTTTCGTCCAAATTGTTAAATGGAAATTCGCGTTCTGTGACGACGTTTTCCGGTAACTCGGGCTCGCTTCTGCTCGAGTATTGAGTTTCTAAGTTTTTTCGCACGTTATAAAGATTT